ATCCTTGGAGTTCCCTAGGTAAGTAGGAAGAAAAACGACCTGACTAAATCGAAAGGATACGTGCCCATCTACCATAGGAAACGACACATCCGAGTGCGCACATGAGCAAACAAGCTCATGTATTGCCGAAAACTTAAGGACATTGTATATTGAATCCCCTATACCCCGATTCTTAGTCGAGACGAGTCTAAAACGACGATACACAACATCCAAGTACACCAAAGGTAAGTCTAATTCACGCATGACCTGCTTGCAGATCCCCCGAATCCTATCCTTAATCAGCCGATCGTCGTATCTTATCCTAATAATTAATATAGTCGACAAGCAAAGAGAGTGTTTCTTACGACAGACATTCGACATAATAAATTTAAAATGTGTGCGAGAGCGTTTACATGAGACAGTCTGAACAGCTTCCTAAAGCCGAATCAACACTCTGATATCGTAATCCTTCAAGTTTCTCCTGGTAGAAGGGGAAGATAGAAAACTAATAATTGTATTCTTAAGGGGTAAGGCACAGGAGCAGTAGAGCGAGACAGAATGAAGAAGAACGTAGGTGTCAGCCTTTAGCAAAGATCTACAGTGTTTGAGAAGAGAAATAGGAAGATTGGTGGCAGAGATAGTGGACGAACCAAACAAGCGCCGGATAAGTTTCCAGTTTTCCGAGAGGGAGGAGCTGGATACAACCTGGATAAAAAATGGAGTAGTAACGCCCCTTTCCGTAGCACGCTGGAGAATAGAGATCAAACTAAAGGATTCCAAACCAAACGAAGAGGAGAAAAGCAAGGGTTCCCAAAGACTCAAGGGTTTTGAAGTCAACGAAGTCGCAGAAGAAGATAGTTCAATCCCACTCTCCTTCCTCTTTCTTTTCAACCTCTCTCTTTTACCGGGTCAGTGTTGTACGTGATATCGTTTTCTCCTAGGGCCAGAATTCAGCGCTGGACTCAAAGATTTAATGAAAAATTTCTCCAACCCAATGAGGTCATGCTCCGAAGAAGTACAAATTAGAATAACAACATAAGAATTAATACCTACGCTCCTCAACCACTCATATAGTTTCTTATTCCCTCGTGTCCTCCCCAAGGGTAGAGTAGAGGCTAAATGCTCCTTCCATCTCATAGTAAGATCTCATAGTAAGAGTCCTCTTCGTACAACCAATATATACATGTTGAAACCACGGGGAAACTAAAGCATATACGACCAGTCGTGGACATAGAGAGAAGTCATAACCACTACTAATTAAAGCAACTAAAATATCAGAGATCTTACCACACCACTAGATGCCTCCTTGAAGTATCAATAGGATTATAACAAGGCGATAAATAATTTGAAGGTGCTTCGATGGCAAATCCTTCTGGAAGTCCCGACAAAACAAAGCCAAATTCCAAAGTGAAGACACACTCAGGGAGTCCCCTCATTCCTCTCCAACCTCCTCTGCGGATGTAACGTAGTTTTGTTATGGATTGTCATCTTCCTGCTTACCTTTCTCTGTCTCCATCAGTGTCAGTTCCATGAACGTGACTGGCCGGTCACCAGGGCCAAAATCCGTGAACGGCCGTTCACGGGTTTTCCGCCCACCTGGGCGGTGATACGGTCGGGATCGGGGCGGGAGGGGGGTAGTGTGGAGGCCTTCCACGCCCCCGTGCCTTCATTTTTTTTTAATTTTTTTTTTGTAGTATGGTGCTGGCACCTTGTCGCAGTGTCATGATGTCATCATAATATCATCATAATGGTTTTTTTTAGGGCCCAGAACAACCTGCGAATGCCTCATACGACCGACGAAAGCCATACCTGACAACGTCGAACTTGATTTTTATTTTTTTTCTCAATAAATTAAAAAAATATATTCCAATCGAAAAAAAATAAAAAAATTATGGGCAGGTGCCCGTTGACATGGAGCACAAATGTGTGCAAAGAAAACACCCCCCTACAAGCCAAAAAAAAAAAAAACGGAGTTCCCGGTCTGCGTGAACTCCAACTGGTCACGAAAAACGTGACCGGTGATCGACCCACGTTCATTAGGGTCGTGAACGGTGAACATGGGTACGACACTGGTCTCCATAGCTTTCAGCCACTCGGTATAGTCACGACTAGCCCTTATATCTGCAACGTCACCCTTAGCTTGATCAAGTTTGATATAGGTGATGCCTTCCTCCTCGCACGCGGTTTCCATCTCTGCCTTCTTAGTCTCCCTTCTTTCAAACGGATGTCTCTGAAGCCCACTATCTTTGCGACTTCCGGTTCTTGCATGATCTTAAGCCGCTTAAGCATGCTACGTGCAAGATCCTTACCATCCTCCTTGTTCGCTTCTTCGTCATCGGATCCCACCTCAACAGCCTGGAAACTGGTCTTCAAATTCCTTGGGGTGGATTTTCTCACAGTTGTCTTCTGGGCTGAAAGTCGTATCCGTGAGGCTCCCATCCTAGCCATGCGTTCTTTGAGCATCTCCGCTTCCCTCAACGCCATCTCCTTCCCCTGCTGGGCGGCCTTGTACGCCTTCTGT